TTTGATGAAATAGCTAGGGATGTGAATATGTCTATTGACTACCTTTAGTAAGGCTAGAATGTGAAACCGCGACTGTCTAGACCGTTTTTTTATCAATCTGTTCCCGGTTCACAACACTAACATGGAGTTACTTGCCCACTGTTTTTTGTGGAACTGTTTACACAATTGACCTCTCTTTGGAAGGTCTTCTCGGTTTCCTAGTCCAAGAAAATGGTGCTCTTTTTCGATGTTTCTTTGGTACCGCACTTGCCCCAAGCCAGAACAATCATATATATTGCATGTATTTGTGTATGTGTGTATGTATGTATGTATGTACGTATGTATGTATGTATATATGTATATGTGTATGCATTGTATTGTATTGTATGTACTGTGTCCACACAAATTTACCCAATGTTGCAAATGAGATGACTGTGCCTTGGCTGTGCTGGTTCTTTTGCCTAAACTTCGAAAACCGCTTCATGAGGGAACTTATTTGCAAAATATACATAGAACAGAAAATATTCTTGTTCGATTCTGCACACCAGAGCTTAGCTCATTCTACTGGACTTACAGTTTCAAGAGCTTAACCGATGGCCAATAATTACTACACCGTACACAATCAACTTTTGCGGTGGCAGTAACTGAATTGATTAGCTATTTTCAGAAGGGAATTGACGCGGTTTTGCTGGTGGAGCTTATGAGGCCATCTGCCTGAATCGGTCAATCATTCACGGACGGAGTGGGGGCATTAAATACAGGCGGCTTAAATTACATTTCCAGCTTCCTCAGCTTCCTCTATTGCGCAATTCCGATAAAATATTTATGAACCAGTTTGGTTGAGAATATTACTTTTTCCATCGTCTACTATAGCCCCTAAGTTGATCGCGGAGACGGAGGTCGGTAGGTACGATACATCAGCAGTTTTCATCCATATAGGCAGATAAGAAAGAACTTCAACTTGGTGCTTCCGTGTACGTTTTATCTCAGATAAACTTGCAATTATAACCATGTTCATCTCGCACGCTCAATTCACATTCATCTACGATGGATGATTTTTCCTAGTGTTCGAAAGCCTTACATTTAATCAAATGTAACCCAATTTCTCACGCATTGGTCCGTACGGATGAAACGATACTTGTGGTTGACGTGTGTGTGTGTTTGCGTGTGTAGTGTAGTCAGTTCTCCTTAGGTAAATTGAAGCCAAGCACGATATCATATTTCTGAAAAGATGTTGATTCAGATAGACACGGAAATTTCATTTCCTTTTTCATATAGACTTCTTTGGAAATAAAAAGGACAATGAGATTCACAATTTTGTGTTCGGGTTAATGATTCGACAAGAAGGGTTATATAATTTTACTAATATGACCGATAAACAATTTTGTTAATATAGAGCAGTCGAAAATTGTTTGTTCGTTGATAACACTAAGTAGCAATATGTACGTGTCACACACCTGCCGGGACTTGAATCCTAAACTCCTGGTTTGGTAGCCCAAACAACTACCTTCTGTGCATATACGGACGACCAGCAGCCCAAGAAGCAAATTCCCAAAGCAATTTTTCATCCAACAGACGAAATAAACTTTAATCCGTTATCGTCTGATTACCGAATTTGGATTCGACGCAGTATTCACGTTTATTAACTTGGACCTGGAATGATGGTAATTGATAAATGACGGCTAGAAAAACGATACAACGTGATCGGCTATCATCTACAAATTTGTGAAGTTATGCTCACAGGGGTCTTTAAATTCATAGCCAAACTCTATGACCAAAATTAAAGGGACGCAAATGGGAGTGCCAATATCCGGATTTATAGCCTAAGAATGTACTACCAAAAAGCAACCAGAGACTTCCGCTCTGATACGTAGATGACACGTTTGTCATCTTACAGAAAGGTGAGCTATAAAGAACAACGAATCACTACTAATTTATTCAAAACTATCGTATTCACAATAAATACGGAGAAGAATAAACAACAAGTATTTTTGAACATCCTGATCAAAAGAATGTAGGCGGCGGTTGGCTTTAGATGAAACTACACCGATCAAAATCTAAACTTCATAAGTAAGTCACAAAAGATTTTATATCAGAACCACTCTGGGAAGAACTTAAACACACCGCAGATACACTCAAGAAGAAGCGGTGGTGGCCCGGTGGTAACTTCACCAAATTATCAGCCTGGAGGACGTGTGTTCCAATCATACTATCACCGCCTGACTTTCCCCAGTTATTTGTTGTATGGTAGCCCTTTGATTGGCTGCTTCACCCTTCCTGAAAATTGTATCATTGTGTATTCAATAAAAAGGAAGTAAAAATGAAAAAATAAAAAGAATATGCCCTGGCAACAGCTTCATTCATAGATCCATCAAACTAAGTCTGGTTCAAAGACGGAAACAAAAGAAAGATAGAATATCAAAATAGGAACACTTTTGTTATGCGTGAAGGATACTTCCGAAAGAAAGACTGTATGAGAAAAATTCGTTCAAAACCAACGCAGAAGAGAATTAAGAATGACAATAGCGATGCAGTAAACAAAAAAACCTGCAGGAATTGACCGAAAAACAAAGCCGAACAAACTGGAAGAACATTATCAACCAGGATTTGTGAACATCGATTGATACTTAAGAAGCATGACTCACTCTCACTTATTCCGAGCCATGATTAGCGAGTAGGACACAGACATGACTTTGGATCAGTGACAATAAAAGCTCAAGGTCGTTAATAAAAACCGCCGAATTTCTCCAGGCTTGGCATTCCTCGATCAACTGAGTAAACAGGCACAACAACACGGCCCACTTGTACAAATCGATGTAACTCAAATAATCAGTGATGCAGTAAAAGAGATTAGTTACCAGACAGCACACACTAGACGACACCGCTAACCAATCCGTAAATGCTAGGTATCTCGGTGTGCTAATCGGCCGTAATTTAAGTTGGTCTTACCAGATAATCTCTGTATTTGGGAAGGTTAGAAAATTCTTATTTTATATCCCACTTTTGTTGGTTTTATTTTCCCTCTCTTCCCGATTAGCCGTCTTTGTTTTCATTTTATTCTGCTTATTTGGCTGTACAGGTCCTTGTACCCTTCCCAGGGATGGTCAAGAAGGATGCAAATTCAACTCGTTTGTCTGTAAACAGTAATGTATTTGCGTCGGTACATGGTTAATGTATTACTTGATCTCAGGGGACATTTCGTTCCTCAATAGTTGGCTAATAAGGTGTCCGTTTAGGCAACTCAATGTATCCGGGGTTTTGTTTGCAAACTTTATGACCGGTTCGTACAATAATGGAACGTAATCAGATGACAGTGATTCCATGGGATTAAAGTGAAACGATTAGATTCTACTGTAGATAAAATGCTTTTCATCAAGGTTATACTCGAATTATTCTACTCTTAAGATTCATGTTTTACATCATCATTGTCATCTAAAAGCTGTCTAAGTAGAACGCGGTATAAACTGCTGGTTTCACTGGATCACTTGAGCAACTGTTAACGTGCAACGAAATGCACACTCTCAACACGCCATTGGGTTGAAGCCTTTTGTTGTTCGAAGAACTAATCCACCGTACGTCCCCTTAAGATTAAATTTTATTGAAATATCATCATATTGCTTGTTTGTAGTATCAGGTATTTTCATGGACTTGAAGAAAGGTGATCTCACTGTACCGTTTTTTTCTGATGTGATAAACGTATAGGTTGAACGTTTTAAACAGAAAAACCAAGTGGAATAATGAAACTCGCGGTGAACAGTCTCACGCAGCCGTGCTACTGACATTTGATAGATAGGCGATATAGATATTCATTTTCTGTGTTCTATCTTCATTGGACTCTAGTGAAAATAATGTGGAATGGGGAATTTCAAAGCTGTTACGCGGTTCGAAAGCTCTGGTAATCAGACTGTACACCGAGTGTCAACACGAAATTTGCAGTTTTCACTGCCGGGTTCATGGTAGAATAGGGCTGAGTTTTCGTCGGATTGATTTTGACACTTAACCGTTAACATTTGTTCAAACGGTTACCACCATCTAGTGGGTTCGTTGGACCGTGTAATTCGGAAACAGGAAATGTAGGTACTAGGTTGCTATTTAACAGGTAGCCAAATTAGCGGTTCACATTTTCGGTGTTGGTAAACAAGCAATTACGAATACTCTCAAACTAAGTAGTGTCCCGATATTTAGCTTCTCGCGAATTGTTTTATTGCATCTAACGTCGAATGTGAAACTGATCCAGAAACTCCTAAAAGAGAGTTGATTGCGAAAAATACAACTGGTATCTCTATTTGAGCTTGTGTATTTACCAAAACTCAGAATTCATTGAGCGTTAAACGAGATGAATGCATTCATGATAAATAATGTTTGTTTGTGGATCGCGTGACGGATTGAGGTTGCCCCAGAATGAGCCAGAGCAAACAATCTAGATGTGTGTGTATGTGAAATGGCGTGGGTGTTTTGAAGGAGCACAGTCAATGATTTTCTCGAATCACGAACGTATAAGCAGCAACAGTTTGACAGGGGGGGGGGAGATATTCAGAATGAGAACAAGCGGTAAATGCAACAAACATTAGATGTAAACACAGCCGAACGACTGAATGAATCGGAAATGAAAAACATAGTAAGCAACAATGAGAAGTATGTAACACTGAGAAAGATGGGATCGAGAACACGAAGATTTCCACAAAACGGTGCATATGAGATGAGATCAGATGAGATCACTTCACTCAAGCAGGGAGATCAACACAGAAACGATAAAAAGGATGGGTACGAATGAGCTCCGTATTCCTCTTTGAAAAGCATCTGCAGACAAACGCTCTCGAACAAAATAAATATATGATCCAGGGAACAAGTACAAGGGGATCAGCAACACAAGAAATCGAGGAGGAGGATGTGATTGCACTCATCTTTGGAAGAAGCTAATACAGTCAAGGAGATCGAGGGGCTTGAGTTGCTCCGGCTTAACTAGTTTTGTCCACAACCTCGTGTTGAAAGTGAAAGATAGGACGAGTAGAAAACAGTTATTAGGTATTGGAATGTTTAGTCTGTTCAAATAATTTCGTTGAGACCGGGGACTTTTGAGGTACATGTAACCCATGACTTGTTTCCTCGTAAACCTCATTCTCATCACCACGGTATACACCAACCTCATAGACAACAACTGTTGCGTGATCTAATTTGCCGGGGGTACGTTTGAGTGTCTCTGAGAGCCATTGACGTTGAGCAATCAGTTCTTCTTCATCAGGTATCGTGGAAGCAGCATCATTCAGCTTGTGTCGCACCGATGGATGGACACGAATTCGTGCGTAGTCAGGATTCTGAAGGATCGTGCGCTTTGATGCGGTCGTGTCCAGTGCGTGACGAATCAACGCGTCGCATAGGTCACGAGAACTGGCCTGACCTTGTCCGGAACTGCACGTGACCGCATCGATCTCGTGCCACACGCGTTCCAGTTCTTTACCGGCATAACGACGCCGTTCGGCCCAACTCAACTCCAGTTGATTAGTGAAATTTAAACTACGCGCACTGATTTCATCGGTGGGGCTGGCCATTGCACCACAGGATGTAGCCACAGCACTCAGTTCAGACACAAACCGAACAGGCCTGTCCGGGGCCAATTTAAAATTAGTCTCAGGGGAGCGTAATGCTTGTGGATCAGCCTGTTTGGTTGGCGATGTGTTTACATGCTGAGCCGTTGGAGGTGGTGGTGGCGGTGGTCTGGGCCAGATTGAAACTTGTGGTGGTGGGGATAATGCCAGTGGAGTGTACCAGGAACGTGCTGGGATAGCTGTACGTTCATGCATAGAACCATTTGATTCCGAATCAGCAACACGGTCCGGATCGTCATAAGGATCCCGACTGTTGTCCGACTCATCCTGTTCGTCAACAAAATCCAACTGTGGCGATTCCGGGAGTGCGATGCGTGTGATTACCGGATCGAAATTGTCTGTCAATCCGTCTGTACCCAAAATGACCAAATCGCCGGGATCACAAAGAGTCACTGTGAGGAGTTTGTAGATGGGCAGGAAAAAGAAAATCTGGATAAACTAAAAGGTGATATATACATGTAACGAATAATGATATTGCGCTCCAAAATCAAATCAAAGGTATATATTTGTAATGCATAACATATTCTGTATAAAACCGGCTGATTTACTGGTCACGATTGTTGGCTGAATTCGTTGAGCCAAATAGCATGAGCAAATCAATTTATCTACCTGTTCACTCCAGACCATATTGTCCGCGAAAAAGGTAAACCCGAATCTGTAGCAAACAAGTCTGGTGAAACTAGATTCCAAATAAACGGCCAAAGTACAACTACGCCCAGCACAATCGGCAAACTGTTCTATTCCGTCAAAAATGGACCGCTCCAGTCGTTTTTAATATCTGCAGATGAATGTTCCAAGGGACAATGTATTCCGATCAGACAGGAAATACGGCAAATATTCCAGAAATATGGGGGGAGGAAATAGCGTTTTTGGAAGTGTGAATGGCTCGAGGTAACAGGCAGCCTCTGGAAACGAAAACAAACTTCATGCATACACCTGTCAGAGAACCTGATCGGTTCCAAAACCACTAGCTAAATCCCCGTGTGGATTATACAGAAATGACCGGAGCAAAAAGATTAAAGCAAAACTTTTCTCCAGCTGTTTATTGGGTTCAACTTCCCATTCACATGCATCCCATCCTCAAGTGTGTATACACAATCTTGAAACAAACTGCTGCAGAGATATCTAAGACTCTCTTCAGTCCAGTGTACTGTTTATTGAATTGAGAAAAACCTGACCGGTTTGTTTGCAGACTGGGACAAGGTCAGTGAACGACCGATTCACGTCAACCGGAACGAAATTCCAACCACTTCCGTCGTCAGCACGATCGGGATTATCGTTATCCCCTTCATTCTTCACATACACGGTGCACTCACTTATCTGTGTTCTTGCTACCGGACAATGGGTAAAAATGATGGCCATCACTCCCAATTCGTGAGTGGATAAGCAGGTCACAAAAGACATGCTTAGTCAGGTAGTATTATCAATGTTCTGTTCCTCTTCTGAGGATAGGCCGCTGAACTTGACAACGGGAGGTGGAGAGCAAGGAATGGGGGTGGAATCGAAAGCCAGCATGTACCCAAGTGTGTTCGTGCTCGCGGGCAGGCACGGATGTGCAAGCGATTGCATACTTTCACATATGTCACAGAAGCAACCACCTGAAATCTACCGGTTGTTCCGCGTGAGACACGATCTGGTAGACGGTGATCAAGAAAAGGTCTGCGTGTGAATAATATCACAAATCACGGAAGAAGAGCAACCTCCACCCCACCCCACCCCTAATAAATAGAGGTGCATCACCTCAAGGTGATAAACAGTTCAAGCTTAACATGAATGTGTACCGAGAGGAGTAAACAGATGATAGATAGCAGGCTGCACAGTCCTTGTTTATTCGTTTCTTTGTCTTCCATACATTTACATCCACCTTTAACCGGACCCCACAAATTTCCGTTTTGGACCAGTCAACCACAAATTATACATCTCCTATTGAGAATAAACAACAGTTGCACTATTTTAATATATTCATCTTTTTAGAGAAAAAACACCACATACTAATATGATAGTTGCACTCCACTGACTGATCGTATCATGCATGCATCACTAACATATTTATCATGAATCAGTGAAGAGGACTGAATGTAATTTCATTATTTACTCCAGATAGTCCTCAAGAAAAAAATGGAGCTTATCTCATGAAAATTTCAGGTCACCTCGTGCGTTGATTCCTGGCTCGAGGAAGTGTCAACGTGTGCATACGACCACACATACAGAATGAGAGAGGCGTAGCAAATGAATCACACTCAACAGACTTGCCCAAGTTCATGAGATAGTAATAAGCATACATTAGGTTGAAATTTGAATTTCGATAAATAAGTTTTAGAGAATGTTTGGTAAATAGGGAATCAGCTCTAATGAATCATCTCCGAACAGGAAGGATGACATCCTTCAAAAAAGGAATCACTTTGGGGGGGGTTATTGTTTTTGTGTGACGAAGTTTGGTTTGCTCCTGAGAGCTCGCTGTCTGAACACTGATATCTTGGAATGCACATGATGTATTGGATTAGGTACTATCATTTCCACTGGGTTGTGCTTAAATATGACTTAACGGAATTGCCTTGCAGCACAATCCGATCGCATTTTCCGTAAAAATGGTGAGTATTATTAGTTAGCACCATTGCATGGTAGAACTTCTCTTTCATTAAGCGCTACATTTAGCTATCGCTAAACCCTTCGATGGTAAATATGTGGATGGTTGCACGGTGTTCCGGTATATCATCATTCACATTACAGTACTGTACACACAGCGGCAAGCTGAACACTTCGTTTGCGAAGGGTGAGTTGAATGTACTATGCAAACAAACTCTGGAAGCGCAGCACACGAACAAGAAAAACTGTGGCACTCTGGCGCGAACCAGAGCAGGGAAAGGGTCAGTTAGAAAGCATGCGAACCACGAAAACCCGGGAACGGATAGGCGTCTGTTTTTGGTTGACCAAGCCTAGTCTTGGAGAACGAAATGAGTAATGCCCGGAGCCAGTTAATGTAGGAAGCATGCACTGGTTTGTTGGAAAAGTACAAGCTGAAACACATTCAGGCACAACTGTGAGTGAATAAAGACAATCTTACCGTGAAACACACATGGGGCTACTTTAGTCAAGAAACTCATAGTGCCAGACGGGTGTGATGTAATATCATTAGTATGGTTCCCATGATTATTGCACGAAAATGAAGAAAATATGCTTTGTACAGGGAGTTCTTCAAACAGTACAACAATAAATTGCTTTTCAATTAACTTGGAGATGTAGACCAGGCATTGCGGTGTGCTCCCCTAGAGAAAACAGGCGAGATGTTTTTATTAATAAAGTGATTTGAACAATGGGCAGTTAAAGCCCACTAACACATGGTGATACGTGTTTCGGTTGCACATTTTAGAATCTAGCCGAGTTACCAAACTGATTCGCGCATTCCCAGTGTGTTATTCTTCTAGCTTCTCTTCGGGTTTTCATTGGGTATACCAATTAGCCTGAATCAGAATACGTTATTAATGTGGAGACAAACAACACAATGCTGTAATGTCCCTTATGAAATGTGGTCAGCTTCAAGTTGAAACGATATTGCCACGGTGTGACAATATCGAGCTCGAGCTGAGATGCATGAGACAACTTTTCATTTATATGGGAGACGGTTTTACGGTCTCCTGCATTCGTTAGTCTATGCATCAGTAGGATTGACCCACGGATCATTGTGGATACACACCCGCAAGAGGGACATGAGTGCACGTAAATCCACTCCGCAACGTAAATCGCGACGTTTGATGCGAGACGCTCGGAGTGCTAACGCGTCTGGGACCAATCGTACTGAGGTCAGACAGGGGACGCCCCTGCCCATTCATGCGCACCACGGGAACAAACGGTGAACAATCTGAAGCTGGGACCACAGGTCTCACCTGCCCAGAACAAGTGGGTCATTGTCAAGACTCCAAAATGAGAGAGATACGGGGGAGAGGAGCTGCATACAAACAAATCATTCAAACGATATGAATGACTCATCTGGTAACTGTGGCATTTTGTTGTTGCTGCTACCCTCAGAGGTAGACAATATTCAGTGGAACAAGTGAGCGTTTGGGGGACTGTGTGTGAACAAACGAGTGTTGACGACTCGATGAAGAAGCTGCGTCGCAGGTGAGGAAAAATCCATTCCTCTGAAACTTTGTTTCCCATGAAAGAAGCAGTAGTGGGTACCTGATTGGTTTTAAACGTATTCAACAGAACTGATGCATTATTTGCAAATAAACCACCTTTTATTCAGTATTACAAAAAGGTTTTAATACCGGAACTAATATACATTCAGCACGTGTAGTTTAAAAGCTTTACCAAGTCACGGAATTCCATGTGAACCGTCCAATGGGAATGTGTTACCATAAAACCAACCATATACGGATAGATAAAATCGATTGTGATAGAATAAACTGCAACTGCAATCTTCCGATCTCAGTACTCGCATACTCCGGTGTGCTGATCAACAACGAAAAAATGTCAGCCTGCAATGTCAATCGATGACGTAAGCCTGGGAATTACGATGGAAAATTACATACGGCTCCATCATTTTACCAGGTGTGTTGCATTGAATCGGAGGTGAGCTATCAGGAAAATGCATCCTTTTGAAATACAGTAAGGTGAAAGTCGCCCCGGGGTAAACCGTGCCACTTAGGATATGCGCTCCCATTTGGACGTGCTTCCGATAGACATAAGAAGCATATCCACACTACTTTGAAGTTAACGAATACCGTTTTTACACAACCCTGGGGTATTCAGAAGTTGAATCACTGGAAGTACCACACGACTCATCAATACGAGAAAAACGCGTTTCCCTCTGGCTAAAACCGTAGTGGTTTTCGCCATAAAGATTAAGACGACTGATCACCAACATAGACAAATTTCGACCGGTATCCTTGTTTTGAGCTAGCCGTTGGGACCAGATACCGATAGAACAACCTTGAAATATGTTTTTTTCGTGTAATCCATCTTTCAAATCAGCAGCTAAATATCTAGGGCATTCAGAGACACTGCTGGACAGATAGATGTTAATTCAGAAAACGAGTAGTATCTGGTCTCAAAAATGATTATATATGAGCAAAGATGGTAAGGATATTACACCGGAAAGTGAAATCCGTTTTACCTAACATATTTTGATTCTTTTTCACGGAAAGCATGCAAATAGTGTGAGTTTGATTATCGATGGAAAGGCGATAGTTTCTATGAGGTTATCTTGCGCGAATCAACCCAGTACTCCATCGTTCATGGTGACACGCTGTAGCCCACTACACCATACAACCTCGACAGAAAACCCGACTTTGGCATTTTGATAATAAGTAGTAGCTGAAAAACTGGAGAGAATGCTACTGATACCCAAACCATACCAGTAGTTTTAGTTGAGTGTATCCAACCGGAAAAA